GGTTCGAAGCAGCGGGGATTTAAAAATGGTGGCTCCCCGCTTATGCTAATGAAGCCCGGGAAATTCAAATCCCGGGCTTCATTAGCAAGTGCGGTATGCATACATTACCCTCCTAGTTCGAACTAGGAGGGTAGTGTAGACATACCCCCAGGGAGTGGCAAATGCATTGGAGATGGCAGCTAGCCAACAGGTCTGGAAAGCCTGTGAATTCCCTAAGAGAGGAGTTTAGTGACTTGGCCAGAGGGCCCCACCACAAAAAGGAGACTGTAGAGTCAGGAGTGAGCTGGGGCCAGACAGCAAGACAAGATGGGAGAACACAATACCGGAGGGAGCATGTAAGCTGGCAGAGCTAATCCCCAGACTCACGCTGAGTGGCACTGGCTCCCATGACAGAGAGGTACTGGATCGGGTTGCTTTGGGACGTGAGAGTTGAGGCTAGCTGGTATGTTCAAGCTGAGAGGCTTCTACTCTCACGTTCTCAAGGTTTCTTCCAACCCATAAAAATTCTGCATGACCTTCTGCCTTAATGTTTCATGCATGTGGCCACCTCCAATGCACCTGCCACTCCCCAGGGGCTGGTAGGGGAACCCAAACCTGCCCTCTCCACTGTGTCCACAGACTCTATAAAAAGCAGCCATTGTGCTAGTACAGTCCTACTGCTAGCTGCTGTTTCCCTGGCCTTATTACATATCTGGCTTCCTTCCTCTTTGCATTTGCCAGCCTCCAACTCACTCCACTCAGGGAGTGACTGCATCCAGCTTTCCTGTAGCCATTCCCAGTAATAGACCCTATGCTGCAGCCAACTATCTGGCTTTATATAGGCCCCACCTGTTCCTGCACAGGCAACCCTAATCTCTACTTAAACCTTTCCCTTCGGTGTTTGATTGACTAGGTTAATTGACTCCTCTGGCCCTATTAACCCTTTCCATTCCTGTGTGAGGCCCCATCAGACACTCAGTGCCTGGACAAGCCCAGAATGTATGCGCATAGCTCCCCAAATGCTATTACAGCTCCATTATTCATAATTTATTGATTTTTTTCCTTTTGGTTTCCTGCAAGGGGAAAAACAACTTCCGTTGATTCTGAGTTAGTTCACATTATGAGGTGGCTTTCGGCAGAGTGCTATTAATCTTCCACCTAAACTGTAGTCCTGTATGATGTTACTGGAATGTCTTGCCTGCTTTGTTTCAAATACTGTCTCTTTTCTAGGAATGGTATTGATTCCTGGAAAATTAATAAATCAGATCAAATACAATCAACCCACAATCCCGCAGGCCAGATGGGGGAAGGAGAGGGGGGAAAGGGAAGCTTCATTAATGCCTCATAAAAGCATTCAGAACGTGATTCCAAGAGCATGGTTGGTAAATGAACACTGTAGAACATGTACATCGTGGATACATGGAGCTTAGTAGGAAATGGCTTCGGAATGTCTTAGGCCTTTCCTGTATACAAATCTTGCACTGGTTTCATTAAACTGGTGCATTTACACTGAGAAGAAAACCCCTCGGGGCACTTTAACTTAAACTGAAAAGTGATTTATTTCATTGTAGTTTTGAATAGTGGCAGAGGCAGGTTTTGCAGCCTGGAGGGGGTGGGGAGGATTGGCAATGGGCATGGACGTTGGGTATAAGAGACAAGGGAAGGCAATGCCTTCCCAAACTGCCAGCCCGGCCCCACTCACACTCTGCTCCCAGTCCCTCACCTCCTTCAGTGTGTCTGGGATTCAGCCCGGCTGGGGCTGTGCCACCAGCTTTCTGGAGGGCGGGGAGTACTGGGTGCCACTCTCCCTCCCTCTCCCCCAGACTCCATCTGGGACCAAGGAAGGCTGGAGCTGTGCGCAGCCTGCTCTGCCCCTGAATATGCACCGTCTGGGGCTGGAGCTGTGCACCACCTGCTCTCCCCCTGCTCCTGAGCTCAGGCTAGGACCACATGGCACCCCCCCCCTCCCCGCATGCTCTCAAGTGCGAGAGGTTGGGAAAGGTTGGGGCTGTGCACTGCCCACTGGGGGTTAGTGGCCTGCCCCTACAGTATGGGGGTATTTGGCTCCCATGGGGCCCTGGTCTGCAGGGGCGGGGCCTTAGGCTGAAGGGGTGGGGCTGGGGGCTGGAGGCTGGTCTCCCCTAGCCCTAGGTTCACCTGCCACCCATGGCTATGGGCCAGTTGTTGGTGGGATGGAAAGCACACACCCACCCAGCAATGGCAACTGTGAGGTGGACCCGGCTTTTTACTCAGGGCATTGCAGTAACCTGGTGCATTGGGTCACTGCACCATTGAGGTTTGGCCTGGCCACCATCTGTAAGGACAGAGGGACTGCTGAGCCACATTTGAGTGAATGCCATTGCAACATGATGCACAGGATGACAGTCCCTTGCCTCCCTGTGCACTACATTGCAGGCTATCTTGCTCTGTAGCCATGTGTGAGAATGTATGTACTACATCTCCATGGTCAGCTGCATCATAGGTTTGAAAAAGCATCATATTAAAGGGAGTATGTGTGGGGTGATCACCCTTGTACCCCTCCCTTAGCTCTGCCAATGGCTGAAACCCATAATCCTGGCTGAAACCAAAATTAGTATCCATACAGCTTTTTTGCATCAGTCTTGCTCTGTAGCCATGTGTGAGAATGTATGTACTACATCTCCATGGTCAGCTGCATCATAGGTTTGAAAAAGCATCATATTAAAGGGAGTATGTGTGGGGTGATCACCCTTGTACCCCTCCCTTAGCTCTGCCAATGGCTGAAACCCATAATCCTGGCTGAAACCAAAATTAGTATCCATACAGCTTTTTTGCATCAGTTTCACTAGATCAGTTTTAGATGACACCTTAAGTTAAACAGGCAAAACTCCTCAGACTAAACCATTATACTGCAGATTGTGGCAAAGACCACAACATGGCACAGCAGAGCCTGATGCTCATGAAGGCCTTTAGATGTGACCTTAACATAAATATTCAATAGGAGTACTCTGGATACAACAACAATGCCCAGTGAGTACCCAGGGCTGGATGCTTCTCTTGTGTATACTTAGGGTATGTCTACACAGCAACATTATTTTGAAATAACTAGCATTATTTCGAATAACTTAGCCCACATCTACACAGCCAGCAGTTATTTTGAAATGTCAAAATACTTTCAAGCTGGAGGACTTCTTATTATGACTCCTATAGCCCTCATTGTATGAGGAGGAAGAGTGCTCTATTTTGAAATAAGTGCTGTGTAGACGTTCCCAATTTCAATTTCAAAATAAGCTACACATGGCTCAGTTTGTGTAGCTTATTTCGAGTTAAGCCCTGCAGTGTAGATACACTCTTGGTAATTAGCTGTGTTGACAAAGGGCTTAGGGTGCATCTACACAGCATCCTAAACTCAAAATAATATGTGCAATTTGACCTAGACAAATTGCATATCTTATCTCGAATCTATTTTGAAATAGCTTATTTTGACATTTGGCACATCTACACAGTGCCAAATTTTGAAATAATGTGCTATTTTGAGCCATCCTTTAACCCTCATGCAACGAGGTTAACTGGGATGGTGAAATAGCCTGCCTGTCATTTCAAAAAATATTTCAAAATAACAGGTGGCTTGCGTAGACTCAATCTATGTAACTGGAGGTATGTTGTTCAGAGCTTCTAGAAAAGAAAAGAAAAGAAAAGAAAAGAAAAGAAAAGAAAAGAAAAGAAAAGAAAAGAAAAGATCATTTTGGGTTTTGAGCTGGAACACAGAAAGGATTGACAAGCAAATTAATTGTTTTTCCACTGAAAAATGCCCTGTTTTGTACATCTTCTCCTGGTATTTGAGATTCTGAAGAGTTAAGCTGCTTGAAATGACAGATAATATAGTGGTTTTGGCTGGTATCTGGGTCTCCGAGTCCTGCCAACTTATGAATAAAGATAGACTGATTTACATATTTATTAGATACATTTTTACAAGGATGCAGCCATCATGGGTCTTTCACAGACTGTGGTCCAAGTGCTAGGTAAAGTCATTGAAAGAAAAGCGCCATTACACATTCACACTTAATGCTGTTCCCAGGCATCAAAATGCATCAATTCAGAAGAAGGCAAAGCTTGGGAGCCTGTTATGAATATAAGTGGAGGGAATTTGAAGGACCTGTGTGGCTGTGTTACCTTGTTAACAGGCAGAGCAGTGATTGATACCCCTTTGTTCTCATCACTGGAACAATGTGACCTATATTAGCTCATGGGGAGGAAGTCTGAATGATAGTGTTCCACAGAGACTTAGATGACCCTGCAGAAAATGCCACTTGCCTCCAAGGAAATGGAGCATGTTGTGGGAGGGATGTCTGCCTTTGTGGAACAGGCACAGTACTGACAGCAATGTGGCACTTGTTTTTAATGGTCACCTCTCAGCCCTGACAGGTGCCAAGTTCCTCCTGCAAACAGCTAAGCACCTTGAATAGAATCTAAGGGCATTCCTTTTCCTACAGCAGGCACTCAGGGCCAGAATTGTAAAGGTATTTGGCCCACTAAAAGAGCAGATGGGAACCCAGTGAGATTTGCTAAGGTGCTTAGGTGGCTAACTTTCTTTGATTTCAGTGGTGTCCAGGAACCTTAGACACACCCATTAGGTGCCTAAGTGCCTTTGAAATCTGGCCATCAGCCCTTTGCAATACTGGGTCTAATGAAGCTTAGGTGCCATGGTGAACGACTGATGAGCAATTTTTTTTTCTGATACTTCGCTCATATGTTCAGTTTTATTACAGCATTGCAACACAGAATTGAAGTGAGAAACATGCCACTCACTAAGGGGATAAATGACCCCCTCTCCACTCCTCCCCACCCCCGAGCAAGAATGAATAAATAAGCAAGACACAGAACCAACAAGCAGATCATTATGGTGTTTATAGAATGTCATCATGTTCTGATTCTAGTGCTTGACATCTTTAATGTCATAGCATTCATGTCATTAGCAACACGAAACTGTCTCTGAATTAAACTCTTGTGTTATGGAATTAAAACACTGATACATGACAGCTGATTTGATAAAAATTGGCATGTGTAAGTTTTCTCGTCCAGATCCTAGAGGTTTCAGAATGTACAGAAGTCTTGGAGGATTGTGCAAAATGTGCCTGATGGTACATTTATTCATTCTAAAAAGAGGGTGGCTGCATGAACTGCACACTGCCATCCTGAATCAGCTGGAAGCAGAATTTGGAAAATGAAGTGCTGAAGATTTACTACCATCAGTGATAGTCTCTGAAACCTGCTCACCTCCTTCACATAAGTAGCTCCTCTGAAATCAATGGGACAGCCCACATTAGGAAATGAACAGGACATGTGGAAGATCAAGGCAAACTGCCCAGTGATCAGACAAGCAACTCCTTTGGTAACTGCAATGCCCACCTAAACTGGCCTTTCATTAAGTAGCATCTCCTTTACCCAATTCTATCAAACTAGATATGTTAGCTAGTCTATTTGATGAGATAAATGATTGGCAGCATTGGGTGGCTGGCACTTTAACAGTGACACTCCAATGAGTACATAGGGTGCCTTCCACTGTATCATATTTACAATAGCCCTCATACATGGAACCCAATAGGGACCCAACAGGGGACCCAATCGGTGCATAACACTATTACTCTCACACCATCTCATTCTGATGAGACAGGCACCAGGAAGAAAAATAAATTGAATCCAAATCGAAATGAGTAAGACTTACATAACTTGAGAGCGTGAGCGAGAAACTAGAATTGGAAGCTCTTCTCAAGGTTTCCAAGGTAGCGAGTAGCAGCTCCTTATAAAGCATGTCCTATCGCTGCATTTCAATTTGTATTAGTTTCCTTTCTGCTCCTGATGAAATAAAAAATCTTTCTGGTAAATAGATTAAAATAACAGGGAGAGGATCAGTGACATGGCTTGGGACCTTTGGCCTCGGATGACTGGTTGTTCTGACATCTTGACATCTATTTCATCTCATCTTATACTATGCCATTTCATTTTACAGAGTTCAATTACAGGCAGGTCATCTGTAATTTTGTGTGTAAAGGAAGGGGTGAAAGTCACGATTTTTAAGTCCTGGCGCCTGGTCTAAAGCTGCAGATCCCCTGCCTATCACAAGACTGGCTGAAGGAAATTTCTCTCCAACACCACAGTGTGAAGGACATGGGGCTACACGGTAATGCTTCTGGAATGCTTGTCTGATTGTGGCAAGGGACATTTACTGTTTGAATATGTTGGTTTAGTTTAATAGCAGGCTGTTGGAAAAACCAGCAGGGAGGCAAACAATAACTGGCGATAAGGCATGTCTCAGCAAACACTTGTGGAGCTATTGCAATGGAACGGCAGTTGGCTCAAAGAGATTAGCCGGACTGGTTTTGTCAGCAGAGTCCGCACCTGGAACACTGAAAGGCAAAGAATGTCTGCCAGGTTCAGAAAGATTCTTCGGCCAAATATCACAAACTTTTGACGGACGAACAACATTTTATTTGCATACTTGCATATTCATTAGGCAAATAATGAATATGCAAATATACAACTAAAATGTCGCTGGTCCGCCAAAATATATGCCCCGGGCCCCTCATACTCCAACCCTGACCCCTGCACTCCCCCCTCATCTTATGTTATTCAGCCACGGCCACTAGAGCAGTCACCCGCTGGGTGGCCTTGGCCTCAGCCCTGGCTACTGGAGCAGGCCCAGGCCCCCCACCATGCAGCCACAGCAGTTCCTAGCCCCCTGGCTGGAGCAGGCCCCAGACACCCACCACACGGCCTCAGTTGCCCCGCCCCAGCACCATAGCTGCTCTCCATGTGGCCCCGCCAGCTGGGCCGCCTTGTGGCTGCCGGAGCTGGAACCAGGACCACAGCGAGGCTGCCCCAGTAAGAACAGCCTCACTGTGGCCCCAGCTCCAGCTGCAACACACCCAGCCACCAGTCACCTCACTCACCCTGCTGCTGGGTGCGGAAGCAGACAGCAAGAGAATTCTCTTATGGGAAACTCCAGCGGGTGGGGCTAATTAAAAGCTGAGAGTGCGGCCTGGCAATGTGCCACGGCCCAGCAGGCAGGGCTTTGTGGCCCACTGCCTGTCCATGGACTGGCAGTTTGGAATCACTGGCATAGACAATATACAGACCACTGAAGCCCAGGGCCAGGTCTGACGGGGAGGAATTGTGGGATTCCACCCCAATGAAAGTAAAGGTATGAGGCTCAACCCTAGTGGAGGAGCCCTCAAAGAGAACAGAGAAGGGTCAGAGATGCAGCTAGCCTTTACCCGGGACAGACAGAATAGAAAGATACCCTTTAAGATGGAAAATTCCTTTCGTAGGGTAGGCTTCCTGCCAATCTCTTCCCTATCTAACCAACATGAGATTGGTCCCCCTAGTACACTTGCAATGCTTTCTCTGGTTTTAAATAGGTCCAAAAATGGCCTCCCTCACTTCCTTTAGCACCATTTTAGGGGCTAACAAATATGTTGCATTTAACAGTTATCTATTTGTGGTCTAGGTCACAAAAGGGGCTGTCACGTTAACTCATGGGCAGCAAATGGTGCACACATTTCCCCTCCATAAAATGGCAATGCGTGCAATGTACATGAGTCCCGATGCCATCTTCCGTACTCTGCTTGTGCCCTTTCGTTGCTAGGAGTGATGTCATAAACAGAGAATGATCTTTTCCTTCAGGGAACATGCTACCTAGGAGCGGTCTGTGATGGCCCAAAGAGCAGTGCTCCTGACCTGAGAGCATGTGACACCTCCTCCTGCTACAATATGGAGATTCCTGTTAAGGGATCATAGGCCTTTGTATTAGGGCCTACCCTAGGAACACAGAATAGACTGTGATAGGGAACTCTGTAAGTTTGTACTGAATCGAGAGCCAGTGTAGCCTACTGCTGAGCTGACTGGAGGGACTGGAACACTGTTAGATCTATGTCCCCATGAGACAGTTTTCTCACCCATTAAGCTTGCTGGCTTTCTAGGGAGCCCCTCTGCCTGGGGCTATGTCTAGACTATGGTGTTTTTCCAGAATACCTCGGATATCCCGGAACAACTCCGCCGCATCCAGGGAACGCGTCCGCTCTTCTACTTTTTTGTGTGGAAGAGCAGACATGTTCTTTCAGAAGCCTTGTCTTTCTCCTCCCATGAGGAAGAAGGGATCTTCTGAAAGAGGAGGATTTTCTGAAATTTGGCCCAGTGTAGACGGGCCAAATTTCAGAAAAGCCTCTTCCGAAAAAACTGTCGGAAAAAGGTACACAAATTGTGGAGCGCAATTTGCGGACCTTTTTCTGATAAAGCCTCGTAGTGTAGACGTAGCCTGAAGCGGGCTCTTTTTCTCCTGTTAGCAGAACCCAGAGAGGATGAATGCTGATGAAAACCCCTTCCCATTGACTTCCATGGGCCATGGATCAGGCTGCAAGTTACTCACGGTCCCACTTCTATAAGAATGAATCACAATCAATGCACTGATGCTTTGTGGTAGCAAAATGCATCATTTTACACAGGTCCAACAAACCCATAAACCATTTGGTTTGCTAAACTTAATTTCCCAGCCCTCTGGAGGCATACCAATGAATTCCTCAATGGATTTTTGTTAGCGAGCTTAACTTGATCTTGTCAGCCATTCTAAAGATTTTTTTTTCAGTTATTTTATTGTTTTGTGAATAAATCCCATTTCCCCCCGCCATCCAGTCTCCCAGATAATACACTCTAGACATGTCTACACTAGGAAATTATTTCAAAATAACTCAGTTCTAAATAATAACTCCTGAAATAACTATTTCAAAATAAGCTTATTCCCCGAGAAAAGCAGGAGTACAGACTTTGAAATAATCAGCTTGCTATTTTGAAATAATGGGTTTGGAAGTGTGGACGTTCCACTTATTATTTTGAAATAGGGGGGTTATTTTGAAATAACTCCCTAGTATAGACCAGGGCTCTGTAGGCTGGCTTCCCCTCAAGGAGCTCCCCTCTAGAAGCTATTTTCTGTACCTAGATGAGCTGGTTGGAGCAGGAAAGGATTTTGCACATAGGCAGAATTCAGGCATCTTTGTGGTTGATTTTATGGCAAAGGAAACCCTAGCTCTTAAATGACCAAATGCAACCACGACAGGGCTTTCCTCAGTGCCCAAAATAAGCTGATGGTGAATACCTGGCTTCAGCCATGGTCAAAGCAAATGGCTAACTCATGACTTCGGTCAGCCAAGAATCCGAGAATTCTACCATTACCGTCCCATTGGTTCCGCCAAGCACACCACCTCAAGGCTCCTCTCAGATCCAGCCCTACAAATCCTTTTTTCCTGACTGAGGACCTAACTCACCCTTCTTATTGCTACTGTGAGAAGGAAGATGAGATTAATTTTTTCCAGCTAGCCCAACCCTTTTACACTGCAAAACCTGGCACTCAGAGCATGCTGTTATGATCTTTTCATGAAACATTGGGAAAGGTTAACCTCTTCCCTGCCATCCTCTATGAGACTAGACAAATGGGCTTCTCACAGACATATGAGGGAGGAATCTGGCCCCTGGCTTCTGACTTCATATGTTAGCTAAAGTTTCCACACCATACTGCAAGTGCTGAGCAGTGTTGATAGGGCTGGTGGCTGGTCACAGTGGCTTGTCACAATGTGAGAGCTGGAAAATGCAAAAGCTCAGAGGCTCTTCCTCGTACTTATGAAAACCATTTGAGCTGAGAGATCACATTTACCTCGCAGTCTAAAGCCATTTCCAACTGCTTTCTTGGTTCTCAACAGGTTGTAGAGAGACATTTTATCACTCTGGTGACTTATTATTTCTCTATGTTGCACTAGTATGTAGGAGCCCTTGTCATGTACTAGGGCCTCCTTGAGCTCAGTATTGCACAGATGTAGAAACATGCCTCAAGGAGCTGACAATCTAAGAATAAGACAAGAGATACAGACAGACAGATGGGGGAACACAAGGAGATGGAATGACAGTACCGTCCAACTCATGGGCACCAGTATCAGTGCACTAGCAAATATTTTGTAGGCATCACCAGGGCTGGTGACAGACTTTGTTGGGCCCAGGGCAATATGGCGGGAAGGTTCAGCCCTGGACCTTGGGTGAGAGAGGCAGGGCTAGGGGCTAGCTTTCTCCAGCCAGCCCTCAGTGGTGGAGAGAGGCAGGGCTAGGGGCTAGCTTTCCCCAGCCAGCCTTTAGTGGTATCCAGACCACAACATGTGGGACTCTGGCAGCAATTTAAATGTCCTGGGGCTCCAACTGCTGGGCCCTTTTAAACCACCAAGCAATGGAGCTACTGCTGCTTTTTCCCTTTTGACTCCCCCACCCCCAGGAGCAGCATCACAACAGAGGAGAGTTTTAAGGACAACAATGAGGTAAGTTGGCAGCCATTTGTGGAGAGCTCCTCCCAAGCGTTGACACTTTGCTGCCAGGACAGTGTATTGATTGACATCATGACTGTGCTCACTCCTTATGAAATTCCTGCTATGGTTATGCTTCCAGCTCCTAGCAGGGACTGGCATGTGGGAGTTGAGCAGACACAGCCGTGCTTCCCAATCTGAAATGTGTCGAGCGGCAAAATAAAAATCAAAGGAAGATGGGGAAAGGCCCATCCTGAAAAATGTCGAGTGGCCCTGGCAATGTACCATGTGTCCTCCTCTTCCATTCAAGCTAAGAGCAGGGGAGGGGCCTGACACCTCACAAGAAGGGCATGAAACCCAGCAAGATCAGGCCTAAAAAGTCTATTGATACTGGTGAGTTCTCCGACTGAGATTTTCAGAACAGCTCACCCCTTCCCTCTCCCCCCAATATTTGTGACTTTGGAATTAGGCTGACGCTGAGAGAGAACAGACAGAGCCTTCATTTGCACTCAGACCATCTCTGCCAGGAACTTCCTTCCTCAGATAGTTTATTTTAAAATAGGCTGCTTTTTTTTTCTGTCCGCTCTTTCATTTTTGGAGCCTGATCCCTACAGTCCTTCATTAATAATGAATTAGTCCCACTCCTAAAGGAACCGTTTCTGTTCCATCCTTCCTCAGGCAAAATGTTCTTGAGCTATAACAGTCCTGACTCATTTTTTCCCTCAAACTGCACTCCGATTAAAGTGCAGGAGTGTTTTGCCTGAGGAAGGAATGAGACCCTCAGGACTGCTGGGCAGGATGGAGGTCTGAGTTAGCCCTTCAAGATTAGGCCCATTAACTCTTCTGATAATTAAGCATGAAATAATGGCAGATTTCCAGCACCTTCTGTGGAGAGGAGACTGCTTGATCCAATGGTTTTAATGCAAGAAGCCTTTAATATCTGATCTAGCCTGGCTAACAAACCAGTGGCTTTTTCATTGGTTTATAAATATCTGCTTTAAGTGCAACAGTCTAGCCCTTTAGTCTTGGCCTTAAATGTGCTATTTCTGGACTGCGCTGGTGACTGACATATTCCTGCTCTATGAGTTATCTCACATCCTCGTAAGACGGGGGCTCTGATTTATAGGCTCCTAGCCTGGGAAATATACACATTTCTTTTTTGAAGCCAGACTGCATGGGATGTTACATGGGAACGGTAACCTGGCAATGGGGGAGAGGAGTGAGAATGAGAGCTGGGTACTGCGCAGCTTTAATGCATGTTAAACAAAAGGCTGATATGAAAGAATTATTTGATCAGCTGGCATCTCAAATATTGGTCTAGAAGAGATGAGTATTTATAGACCCAAGCTGCACCAGCCCTGCTTAAAAATACTGTCAGAAGACAGTGGGAGAGCTTGGATTACAACATACAATATGAAATAGGTAATCAACTTTGTAACCTTCTAGCCTGCAAGCTGTTCAGGGCAGGAAACACAATATTCCCCTCTAATTAGGGAGCATATGCTCATTTTTCCTCACAGTGATCCAACCAAAGGCAGAATTACCAATCAGGAGACTATCTGCCAGGATACTGATAGTATGTGTGTATGTTTAGACAAAGCAATATTGAGAAAACTTAAGGACCTCAACTTGTTTTCCTTGCTGTAAGTAGCGCAATACTGGCGCTTTCCATTTTATTCATCCAAAACCAGGATTTCAGAATACTTTTGGGAATAATTTTTTAACCTTTGTGAAAGCTACTTCATCCCACGAATTTTACTGGTACATAATATACCTGTCAACACTTAGAAATATCTGTTGTATCTATTTCAGGCACAGGGGTGCTGGAACAATTTTTTATAGTGGAGGGGAAATTTGTTGAACCCTACTGGAAACCCTGTAGCTAATGGAAATCGCTTTCAAATCAGGGGGTTCTGGAGCACTCCCACCCCCACAAGCTCAGTTTTAGCACTTATGTTCAGAGATGGGTGTAGATAAATCTAATGCACACTGTATGCTTCATGCATCAATGTGATATAGGTGCTGCATCAATATTTATCACTTAATAAATAGTTCATGTTTTTCAAAGTGCCTCACAGCAATATACAGCATAGAGCAGGGGTGGGGAAACTAAGGCCCGGGGGCCGGATGTGGCCCCCGGCTTGCCTGGATCTGGCCTCCAAGGCTCAGGACCCCTCCCCAGCATTGGGGAGCCTGCGCTGGAACTCCAGCCCCCCTGCCTCCACCATGGGGCTGGAGCACACACAATCTATGAGGCTGGGTCTCCGTAGGTTCTGGTGTGTGAGGGAAATGTGG